GGGTATTTTTATACCATGGTAGCGGCTCACCTGAGCTTCGCCTTGGTGTTTTTCCCGATGTTCCAGAACCTGAATGTTTCTCATTTTGATTTCATACAAATAATTATCCAAATTGGTCGAGTAGTTCAGGAGGTATGCGCGTACATACATTTAGGTGATTCGTTTTTATTTATTTATATAGATTAGTTTACTAGCTTCCCACTTGCTGCTTTAATCATAATTTTAGAGTTGAGAATTTATTTTTTGTATATTCAAAGCATTTATTTTAATTCAAATGAACAGGAACTTTGAAACATCAGACACAATAGAATAGTCTGTCAGTCTGTCTTTCATTAATGATTTTTCATTAAAGCGTAGACTAAAGAGGATAAAATAGAATTTTCTATAATAATTTTATGAAAATGTAGGAAATATTTGTGTTCTTTAGTAAATACGTAGGTACGTTATAAATGTTTATTCAAATTTTATTGTATAATCACGGTTCATGACGTTACTTTATGGTGTTTAAATATTATTATATGCTTATTTATTTATTTTACTGTTTAGCATACATGCGTACGATTATTTATCTGTTTAGTTAAAGGTGGATGTTATATGGATCAATAGCGATATGGGGAATGCCATGAAAAATATATCGTACCTCCGGTGCTATAACGTCACTTATGTATTGCGGGGGCCCGCGCGCAACTGAACAATGAAACGTTGTTTCTCCTAGTGCCGTCCAGATTAGGGCCAAAACCGTAACGACAGTAATGCCCTCACAATGTCAGTTTGCTTACTACTCAAATGACAATAAATAACGCACCAAGTAAAGAGGTGAATTTGGAGTATTCTTTCATCAGTTGAGGTTTGACAAAAATTGCATAAGTGACGATATTGCACCGTAGGTGGCGTAGGTGCGATATATAGAAGTGATAATAATGGTGATTCTAGTATATTCGTAGACACCAGGTGGTACTTTTGTCAATATTTTGCTTTCATTATTATTTAGGCTCATATTCATGAGCAGTGTTCCGCGACACACAAAAGCCTCAGCATGGTTTGAAACTAGTCGAGTTCCGCATTAAACAGTTACGTGAGTAGCCGAAAACTAATAATTAATTTAGTATGTCTGACGAAGTTATATTATTAAAGTATATATTTTACTTAATCATCAACAGTCCGTTACAGTTAATTACTATGGGCCTAGACTATAGGTCTCAGACCATCACGGATGGGGCCCAACACGGCTGGTGCCGATTCGGAGTCGCGGAGAACCTAACGGGTTACCGGGGCTTGACGTGCAGGAGAAGGAACGGGGTGGTTTTTAGTCAGTAAGAGTCTGACACTCCCTCTCGCCTCACCCAGGCGGGAGCAGACATTCGATGATTTTCGCCCCTTAAAAAAAAGACTGGGTCTCGTCTACATAAGAGAATCTACCCGCTCGGTAGTTGAAGACCACAGTTTAAAAATTTTAGGGTCTCTGTCAGATGTGAGGTCCTTTGTTAAGTAATTGATTTATTTACTTTTCCAGTGTCCTCTGAGACTGAACATCCTATTTATTATTTAGTATATTTTTTAATTATTTAAAAGAACACTTCAAAGTTGTTATGCAACACAATTATTCTGTTAGAAGTAATATATTATTAATGGTTCCATCTTTATTTTATCAACTAAAAGTCTTCGGTCTACTGGTTTTCATTTAAAATTGTAATAAACATAATTATACTTCGACTCTATCTAAACAAAATAAATTATTCACACTTAATTTAGATATCATGAAGTTGCAAGTTAATATTTTTTAAGTAATTTATTTTCATCCAACTTAACCATATTAGACTTTCACTAAATAAAAATAATACATAGATAAATGATTTGATTTATTATATTTGAAGATGTTCCGAAATTAACCGATTATATTAGATTTCTTATATTTTCTTAACGCGATTATTAACTATTAAGATTTTTTTATACCACGACCGTGGCAATAAGGCACACGGCCCACCTGATGGTAAGCGGTTACCGTGGCCTATGTACGCTTGCAACACCTGGGACATTACATGCGTCTTGCCGACCCTTATCAACACGACAATAACAGACTCATTGACTCATCTCTCTATTACATGGAACTCATAATGTAACTGACAGGAAGTGGGTGTACAGAACATTGTACATACAATGACATAATATGCCATAATATTCACATTTGCCTTTTCCTTAGAGGTTAAAAGGGATGACGGTATATGTAATAATGACAAAAAAGTCAAAAATAATCTATAATATTTCCAATAGCATTCAGCAACCATTCTCTCTATTATTGTAGCCGCCATTTTTCGCAGTCGGGAGTGTTTTGTCTATAATTTTATATAAATTATATTGTCATGTCGACTTCCAGTTAGGTGTATCATAATTACCTATACATTACGTTTACAATCATCGGAGGTAATAAGCCGTGTGATTGTCAGTGTGGACATCTGTAAATCAAGGGGGAAATGATACTTTTATGACCTTGAATGTTGAATGACTTCTGTTGTTTGTGTCGCGTCATCATTTCATCATTGACTAGATGTCTAGTACCTATTCTTGTCAATAACGCACAAATAACTATTATAAAAGTAATATGGTAACTTCGCCCATTCGCGTCCACTCACCGCTACGGAACACACTCTAAAAATTTTCGAAAATAAGAAAACTGTCTCCATATGTAGTACACACAGTACACATCTGTTTAACCTTTTCATGTTTTAAGTATTTTACATTCATGGCAATCCGTAAAACTAAATAAAGGCAGGCCTTAGTACGAGTTTGACTTACGTTTAAAATAATTGAAACGAGGTGGACGCGAACAGGAAAACTTATCCTATAAATGAACTATTAGAGGAATAGTTCAGTTGTAAAGGCACACAGGTGCACGGTGCATATAATCTGGTATTTAGGGTATCTGTTGCTTACAGACTACTTACTAATAAGTAATGCATAAACATTTTCCTCATGATAGAGCGAGAGAAAACACTGGGTAGATTTTGAGCATTGTGCTAAAAATTTTGCCATTCCGTTGAAATCTTCTTAAAAATAGATCTCACTTAAGAACTCGTTCTAAAAGTTGATACCTATCTCATGTTTATGATACCATACCAGTTGTTCCAATATAGAAATAAAAATGTTAAATATGTATTATACAGGATGGTGCTGAAACTCAGCGCTGTGGACTCAAGCTTTCGTGCCTGGGACACAGCATTTAAGCTGAGCTCCGGCCTTTTGCGCCACGCCGCACTATGAACTTCTTTTTGTGCGTTTTTGTATTATTGTCTACGTATGTGTCGTGGTGTAATAAATAGTATTTATTTCTTTCTTTCAAATACTAATGTTCTCTAAAGCGCATTCTGAATGAAACCTATTCTATACATTTTTAACATTAGTTTTGCTTTGAACACAATCGAAAGTTATTACTTTGATGTCTGCTTAACTGGTCTATTGATCGATTATTGTCATGAAGTACCTACTTGTACGTATAATATCGACGTGGCCTTTGGCTGCACCTGCTATTCACCACGATATTATTACAGGTTATTTCAACGGTTGCGTGTCTATTGTCCCCTTGCTACTGTTATTTGTAGAATTTCTTTTATTTATTTCGTTTGGCTTATTTATAGAGAGGCTAATTAAACTGTCAAACACCAAGCGGTCACCGGTGACCGCAACCTATTGTTCTATAATTGTGTCTGCAAAACCGGTACTCGACGAGTTAAGGTGTCCTTGATATGTTTACATTGTGGGGAAGCTAGCCAAGTTGTCACATTTCCTGATTGTATATAGGTTACCGAGAATTACGTCTGCGGCGAATGAATAAAAAAGCATAACATAACATCACGCCTTTTATCCCCGAGTAAGGCATAGGTGTACATTATGCCACTGTACAATATAACACCCATTTTTCACTATTTATGTTATGAGTCCGATGTAATAGGGGGTGAGCCTATTGCCATATACCGGGCACAATTCCAGAGTCCGTGTAACTACTGTGAATTTTTAGAAAAACCCAGTCGTCATATTTTGCCCGACCCGGGAATCGAACCCGAGACCCCTTGCCCGACAGTCGCACTTGCGACGACTCGGCATATGAGCAGTGAATAAAAAAGGTACTTTAAAATTACAACATTACACACATAACTACATGCCTGTCTCCCATGGGGTAGGTAGAGACTATGGAACGCCAATTGCTACGATTCTTACATATTATCTCTTTCGCTTCATCAACAATCAGCAGTCTTTTCATGCATGCTCGTCGGTTAAAAGTAAGTTTAATTTGGGCCTTCTTTAATATATTACAATATTAACGATAATTATTATTTGCTGCCGATATATCAAAAGTTTTCATATGCTTTTTGCCCTACTTTCCATACAAATTTTCCAATTTGTTGCAGTCGTTTTGCAGTTATGAGCGTATAAACATTTTGTTGATTCTTTTTAACAGACTTCCCAAAAAGGAGGAAGTTATCAATTCGTCTGTGTGTTGTTTTATTATTTACATTTCAGATTAAGATTTGACACGGTTCGGTAACACATTGTGTTTAATTATGCATTTAAAATAAATAACATTGTTTAAATGAGTATATTATGCCGTATTGTTACCGAATAGCCTTCTTGATATAAATTAATAAATCATTGCGTTCATTTTGTAATTTTCTTCTTAACATGATCGTTCATGTTACTCAATTTGGACCGTTTAATGTTGACGATTCGTGGACATATCATTATGAGTGATTTAATAAGGGAAGGATACTTAAAATAATTTAATATTTTTATGAAGCTGAAGGTATAAACACTGAGCCAAAATACTCTTTGTGGTCGTTATGTTTTGGCCGGAAAGGGTTTGTTTGGTATAAAAAGAGGTCAAACTTTGTCAAGTTTCGGGTTCAGCTTCTAAAAATAAAAATGTGTTTAGATGTCAAAAGCTAAATGTACTAGTCCTCATATCCATTGCCCATTTTTTCTCACGATTGGTTCTTCTTTGCCCACAGGCTCAGCAGTGGTGAGCGTCTGCATGCGGCAGTTCGACGATGCCATATCCATCACCGTGGCCATCATGATAGTAGTGACAGTTGCCTTCGTCCAGGAGTATCGCTCCGAGAAGTCATTGGAGGAGCTGAACAAACTGGTGCCGCCATCTTGCAACTGGTGAGTGACGTCACAATACATGATCTCTTTTTAAAATGTTGTCGAATTTTTTTTTTATGTAAAGTACTACATTTATGAATGTTCTAAAAGGATCGAAGTCAAAGTCAAAATCATTTATTTCAATTAGACCAGGAAGGCACTTTTGAACGTCAACAAAGAAAAAATAAAGTGAAGTTGTTTGCTCATTCCAAGGTGTAGGGTCCTTTAGAGAAAAACGAGCAAGAAACTCCATAGGTTGATCAATTTCACTTTACATAGTTGGTTCGATTGTGCGAGAACAATGTAACACCAAAATCCAGCCAAAGAGATCGAAAAAAAATTACAATAAATAATGCAGTCTGGAGCTGACTAGTCCCAGTTGACGGCACCCGTTCAAGGGGAGGAATGTTTCTTTGTTTTTCAAAGCGTGTAAAGTATTTCAAAATATGGAGCGTCCTCCACACTTTCAAAAAGTTTTCCGATTATCTTTCAACCCTCTGCTGCATCAAAACTGATTAATGACTCTGACATAGTTGACATAGTTACTACAGATGTACTTCTGCCCATCCCTTAAAGAAAGAACAACCGCGATGTCGTGTTCATTAAAGATTTCTTATTTTTTTGTCATAAAAAATGTTTTCCTGGCCTGTAATAACCAAGCTCAATATCTGTAATTTGTTCTTCAAATTGGAAGGGCTTCTAATAACAGTGTTCTAATCAGTTGCCATTCTATCGACGTAACTAACTAAGCTTACTGTATACTGGCAAGGCAATGTGGTCCAATCTGAGGAATTCCTTTATTTAATACATTGTCAACTTTACTTTTTTTATGGGATAAGTTGGTAAACCGCAGGCGGATCACCTGATAGTAAGCAATCGGCGCCGCCCATGGACACCTGTAACGGGGGGGTTTAATTTTTTTATACGAGGGGTGGGGTAGGGGGGTAATTGTGCCTTACCGGAGGCATCCCTCATCGCTCACACGACGAAACACAACACAACGTTGTTTCACGTCGGTCTTCTGTGAGACCGTGGGATCACTCCGGTCGAGCCCACACTTTTACATAGTTTTATAAAACCTATTACAATATTAGTTTGCTCGACCTATCGGGAATTAAACATTAATGTCCAAATACTCAAACACCGCTTGTTACTACAAATTCTTTGTAAAATGCAGAGACGACAGCACGATATTTAAGTACAATTTAAAATTGAGTTGTCTTTCAGTATTCATGTAAACCTCTTTTAATATTTGAAGGGTCAACGTTCACTATTTCGCTCTGCAATCGTTTTAGAGACCACAACGAGACTGTCAAATCTGAGCGTATTATTTTATGACTGACTGACTACACAAGCAAAATCATGAGCTATAGCTAAGTTTCCTGTCGCGGAGAACCTAACGGGTTACCGGGGCTCCGGCTTGATGTGCAGGAGAAGGCACGGGGTGGTGTTTAGTCAGTAAGAGTCTGACACTCCCTCCCGCCTCACCGAGGCGGGAGCAGTCATTCGATGATTTTCCCCCCTAAAAAAAATAGCTAAGTTTCGTATAAGGGGATGTTGAACTTTTATATCGTTATTAGGTTGAATTTCAGATAGATGACGCACTTTTCCTTTATTAGCAATTGACCAGATTACTAGGCACTTAATTAATGCCTGTTGATAACTCAGCTCTAGATAATAACGTCTTTTCCTTCGATTGAACTTAATCTGGTATTAATATATGATACTGTTATTTATGTTCTGTTATTGACTGCCTCGTTGGCCGAGTGGTCGCAAGTGCGACTGCCGGGCAATGGGTCTCAGGTTCGATTCTAGGGTCGGGCAAAGTGTTACTGGGTTTTTAAAAATCTCAGTAGTAGCACGGAGTCTGGAACTGTGCCCAATATATGGCAGTAGGCTCACCCCGTATTACATGGGAAGCAACGCTTGCGTTGTGTTTCGTCGTGTGAGTGAGGTTACCGGAGACCCAATTGCCCTCCCCTTCCCCAATCTCCTCAATTCCTGAACCCCCAACGATCCTTAAACTCCTAATCCCCAAAAGGCCGGTAACGCACTTGTAACACCTCTGGTGTTCCAGGTGTCCATGGGCGACGCCGAATGCTTACCATCAGGTGATCCGCCTGCTCGTTTACCGGCTTAAGCCATAAAAAAATTGCTCATTCAAAACTGAATTTAAATGCATTATATATTACTTTCCAAAAACATATATATATAACAGCTGCAGTGCAGTTACCGTTGCCACAAGAAATCTTTAGGTACCTAAACAACCATAAAATAAGATCAGGTCGCCGTAATTATTATTTTTATTTACTACATTTCACTCTTTAGTGAGTGTGACATCAAATCCAAAATGGTAGCAATTGCGTCATGTTGATAGCCTTAGATTTTAGTGTTGCCAATGTAAAGCGTATACATTACGGTTTGGTAGATTTTGAAGTGGTACAATTTACGAACCGGTACAATTTGAGTAACTCCACCCTACACAACGTAATTCCAGACTCTAGAATAGTCAAACTGGTTGATACAAATTCTGAAAAAGTTATTAACTGACGATATTATAATATCGTACTAAAGGTTATTAAAAACAAATATAAAGCTCGAAGCTCGTCACAGCGACTCATTGTAATGTATTGACCTCATAATTGGCAATAAATTGACGCCCTTTATATTATGACGTCAATCGCGTTACGATAACAGCTCTCCGATGTTGTAACTACCCGTGAATGATCTATAACAACACAACATTACGCCTTCAATATCTTAAAGTAGAAAGTACAGATGAGCATTTTATTCTATCACGTCAGGTCAAGACGTACATGATTATCAGAGAGGCTGCTAAATAAAGTAAATTATTATCTAAAGCTGAAGAATTTGTTTGTTTGATCGCTCTAATTTTCGGAATCACTGATCCGATTTAAATAATAATTTTTGTGTTGAATAGTGTCTTTATCGAAGAAGGCTCTAGGCTAAAACATCACGCTAACACCAACAGGAGCCAAGCAAAGCGGGTGAAACTGCGCGGAAGGAGTTAGTAAAGTAAATAAAGTAAAGCCGACTATGGGAAGTCCGCTCTTAAGACATCCGCGGTAGGAATAGGTGGTGACAAATGTGTTCTACTCTGCCTATGTTTGTTTGTATGTATGTTAATAATTTAAGACTTTCTTTGTTCACAGTCTCCGAGAAGGTAGCCTCGAGCACTTCTTAGCGCGAAACCTGGTGCCCGGTGACATCGTCCATCTTAATGTCGGCGACCGCGTGCCGGCCGATCTCAGGCTCTTCGACTCCACAGACCTGGCCATTGACGAGTCCTCGTTCACTGGAGAGACGGAACCGGCTGTCAAAAGCGTGCTGCCTAATAAAGCCGCTGCCGGGAGGGTGAACAAGGATAATATTGCGTTCATGGGCACCCTTGTGAGGTGTGGAAATGCTAAGGTAAGTGTTTTTCAGAGTACTTAGAAAAGACGTGATATTTGAGTTTTCAAAGCCTTTTTAATGATCATAAAATGGGTGGGAGGTTTGCAATACCTCCGCGATCTTGGTTTTAGTATGGTTATAAGCCGTGTATGACTGCAGTAATGCGGTTTTACAATTGACTTTTGTTTAAAAGAATATTCTAATCATTTCTACATGCCTTCCAAGTCTTATGTCCAATTCTCAAGCTTGTTTAGCACATCTTTGCGAAAATAGAGACAACTTCAGCCTATCTACTTTTCTCGTGAGATTCATGAGACTTAACTTACCATACTTTTCTCCATCAGGGTATTGTAGTAAGCACAGGCGAGCGATCAGAATTCGGAGACATATTCCGAATGATGCAAGCTGAGGAGGCTCCCAAGACTCCGCTGCAGAAGTCCATGGATACTCTGGGCGCTCAGCTGTCCATGTATTCGTTCTGCATCATCGGCTTCATCATGGTGACTGGTTGGCTCCAAGGGAAGGCTTTGCAGGAGATGTTCACCATCAGCGTTAGTTTGGCTGTCGCTGCTATCCCTGAGGGTAAGTGGATTGTTTAAACTGGAGTTTCTGATCTAACATAAATAGTGAAAAGTGGGTGTTACTTCTGTGTGCACCTCTGCCTACCCCTTCGGGGATAAAAGGCGTGATGTTATGTTATGTTATGTTTCTGATCTAACAGTAATCGAACTTTGACATTATTGGTATTGAAAGTTTGTGCTTATTTGTCTAGTCTTCCAATTTACTTGTCACAGTTAAATTCAACCTGTTTTAGCGACAATCGTAAATATTTTCTTTATTGCAATATTTTTTACCTTTTCCCTAGGTCTACCAATCGTGGTGACGGTGACCTTGGCTCTGGGCGTGATGCGCATGGCTAAGAGGAATGCCATCGTGAAGAAACTGCCCACTGTCGAGACCCTTGGTTGTGTAAATGTTATCTGTAGTGATAAGACCGGTGAGTTTCTCTATTACTGGTGACAGAAATTCCTTAGTAAAAGGTTTCAGCATGTCCATTACAAAGATATTTTTTTATACCATACCTGATGGTAAGCGGTTACCGTGGGTTATTGACTTGCAAAACTTGGGGTAACATCGATACTGTATTGTTTCTATTCAAGTCCAACTGGCTAATATGCCATGCATGTAAGTACGAAAATCGTAGCATATTCATGCCGCATGTCAGACGAGCAGTGGGCAAAACTTACTACTGAGTGTAGCTCACTCAACGTCAGTAGACGTCGCGGCAGGCCCAAAAGGAGATGGCGGGACGAATTAGACATCTATGACAAGGATTGGCCGCAAAAAGCTTTACATAGAGAGGAGTGGAAGGAGGGTAGGGAGGCATTTGCCCTGCAGTGGGACGATCATGGCTGAAAATAAAATAATTAATAAAACAAATTCATGTTAATCAAACGCGTTCAAACATCCGTTAGTTCGTTGAAAGGTGTCACTAAAACTTAATTGTGGTCTAACAAGTTAAAAGCTAAGCTACGCAATGTTTTGGTGTCGATTGAGCAGATGACCCACAATAACCGAAATCCTTAACCCTTAAGGCATTAAATTACATGTTTAATGTATCTACAGGAACCCTTACTAAGAATGAGATGACAGTGACAACGATATCGACGTCTGGCGGCCATATTGCCGAAGTAACCGGCACTGGGTACAATGCGTGCGGCGACATACAGTTGAGGGCGTACAAGGGACGGGATTTGGACGTAGCTCGGATGGCTGTTAATACTATGTTAGAGGTAATATAGGAATGGATTTACAGCCAGTTTCAATAACCTATCTGTATATTTATATTTGCTGTATATTTGCTTACTAGAGATAGAATTTTGACATGAGCTCCATACAAAATGTGTTAAAATTCTATCTCTGTACGCAAATTTACAGATAGATAGGTTATTGAAATTGGACGTTATTAAGGAAGGAATTATTTTTACGCCCAGTTCGAATTTAACTGCTCAATCCCCAAGCGGTCACTGGTGACCGCTCTCCACTAACTCCATTATAAACCTTATTTCCGATGTTTAGAGACTACTTTTGTATGAACAAATTTTGGGGAGTTTCGATTCGGACTGCCTCGTTTTCCGAGTCTTCGCAAATACGACTGCTGGGCAAGGGGTCTCGGGTTCGATTCCCGGGTCGGGCAATACTTTTAATACTTTACTGGATTAAAAAAAAATCTCAGTAGTAGCACGGAGCCTGGAAATGTGCCCGGTACATGGCAATAAGCTCACCCTTTATTACTTGGGACTCATAACATGAATAGTCATTATCATCATTTTACCTGCATTGTCGGTACGTACTACAGTAACTTCGTGAAATCATCGTAAAAAGTTTTACCCGTTCGCACAACCCTTCTTTTACATTACAAAGTCAACGTTCACCTAAATCTTCATTTTACAATTTTAACTTAAAATCTTTTAGTTGTTTTAGCAATAGATTTTCAATTAATTCACGTCTTCAAAGTTTAAAAGTCCTTCGGAGTAATCAATTTTATTTTATTCAACCGACCAACGAACTTGAATCTTTTGAAGAAAATTCAAGATTGTTCATCCTAAACTTCTTTAAAGTTTATAAGTTTTCGCTTTATGTTGTTTTTGTAGGTGGGCGTACTGTGTAATAATGCGACGATCCGGGACGATACTTTGTACGGACAGCCGACAGAGGGCGCGCTACTAGCCGTTGCGCTTAAGAACGGTATGCGTGATGTCCGGGATGACTATACGAGACTCCACGAGATTCCTTTCAGGTAATGTAATAAATAGAGTCATCTAGAGCTAGATATGAAATGTGATTACTTATTCTGTTGTTGTATTTTAGCGCAATTTAGCGCATTTTAGCGCAAGTACACGCATTTTCTTACATACTGTTATCAAAATAAACAAACATTCAACAAGTATAGTTAACCTAATTCCTAATTAAAACCACCTTCATTTTACAGTTCTGAAACAAAGATGATGGTAGTAAAATGCGCTCCCAAGTTCGGAGACGCTAAATTAAAGGAAGAAGTCTTCGTAAAGGGAGCTATTGAGAAAGTGTTGCCACTCTGCACTCAGTACATCGATAGCAGTGGCAACTACGCGCCAATGACTAAGGAGAAACAGAATGATTTCCTCGGGGAAGCTTACAATATCGCAAGGATGGGTGAGTGTTTTTGTAGTTACATATTTTGTTGGTTACTTCGTGAAATTTCGTGTTTTTGGTTGATATATAATAGATACTGCAATTCAGTTTTAATCAATATTATTATAGAATTGATTTCAAGTGACGCGGTAGATATGAATACATTGATGTAATAAGTTTTAGTTATAGTCTAGTACGTCATAACTTTTTGTACTTACTATAACTTTTCATAGTAGTTTTTACCAATCTAGAGATAGTTGGGTAGTCAACTATCCAGCCATCTGTTAACTAAAAATTACTTAGTGTGATATAGCACCTAAATTTTAAGTCTAAAGTAATCCTTATTTGTGTCAAAAAGTCAAAAGTCAAAGCATTTATTTCAATTAAACCATAGTTTGGTACTTTTGAAACGTCAACAAATCCTTACTAATATTATAAATCGGAAAGTGAGTGTGTTTGTTTGTTCCACTTTCACGCCGTAACTACTGAACCGATTGCTTTGAATTTTTAGATGGATGGTCTGGATTAAATAATAGGGTACTTTTATCCCGGAAAAATTTGATATTCTCGAGGGAAAACGAAATTATTGATATTGATGGCGCTGTGTGCAGTGGCGGCTGTACCTTAAGTGCGCTCGTGCGCTGAACCACCAATCCAAAAGATTTAAAAATGACAAAATATTAAGTACCTACTTCATTATTTTTATTACCATTTTAATATTTATTTTTAAATATATAAAAACAAAAGCGTATAAAAAATTAAATCTCCAATTATAGTGAAACAGTTTGAGCGCTTTACTAAACTATTAAGACTTATTTTCCTGTAAAGACAAATTCTCGTGCGCTTCGGCGAGTGCACGAGGGCTGCTAATACAACTTGTAGGTGATACGAGTTAATACGCCTGACGCGTGAAACAAAAGATAGTTCATAGAAACGTACCGAGTAATGAGTCGGTTGTCGAGCGCCGCACGTGCGATGCGAACCGAGGATTGCCGAGAGCACCCGATTTTTGACGAATTGGCCGGCATGGGCGCGCGCGAGGCGACGGCAGCCATTGGATGATTGACATCTCGTTATTAGACTATCAGTACCTATAGTTTCACTGTATGTGTGACTCGCTAATAATTGTTTATTTATATTACCGTAAATAATTGTTTTTAGTTTTCGTTTCGATTTTTTTCGAGAACTTTTATTCTATACTGTGTATTAGTGAAAATGAGCATAAACATTGATTATATTAAAGAAAATAACAGAACTTTTCAAAATAAAGTGAACATAAAATTGGCCGGACCGCCACGGCCCTTTTTAAATTTAAAACAATAAAAAATAAACATATATTATGTCAATTTTTGTTTTGTTGCATTTTCTAACTTTAATATTTTAGTAAACTGCACCACCAGTTCGATAACCCACCAGCCGCCACTGCTT